TGCAAAAATGACAGGATTTTCGAATTCATCTGGTTTTTTAGAAATGTAACCACTCTGAAACCAAGCATAACGAAATAAATCTTGATACCTTGGTGATGATAATTGATTAGGGACAAAAGACTGTAACTTTATGATATTATTCCGCAAATGTAAATTAATATCTTAGTCCATGAGGACGACAGTATCCGAAAAATGACGATCATAATTCTTCCATATCCTAAAACCATATACGTCAAGGGGTTCAATTTTTCCAGTAGTCCCCTTTGGTATCAACATAGTTAATAATTCTTTATCCGGAGGAGTAATTTCTTTCACGACTTGAGGACAGTGTCCGCTCCAGGAATCGATTAACAGTAGACTTCTAGGACCCACGTTTGGGAAAAAGACTTCCTTCAACCAGGTTTTGAAATGCTCTGACAAATCAAGTAATAGATGATAATCCTAATTATTGGATAGAACATATCATGTTTGTTAGGTCTTAAATATTGTCATAAGTGAAGTGAGTTTTCCCGATTTTGAAGCGGTGATGAACACATTCGCAGGTTTGAAGAGATTTTGCTCCACTATTGGACCGAAAGTTCCAGAAGGTTCATTCAAAACCAGGAAGAGAGGTGATAGTAATTTTCCATCAGCAGAAATCAGAGGTTGTACTGTATAACTCTGTGTCGTTGAAGTTATCGATTGTACGACGCACGCTACTTGTTTAGTACCTTCTTCAGCTAACGTTCGGCCTGAATGAATTTCCAATTCGAAATCACTTTGATCAGTATTAGAAATGTTTTCTGGGCCATACGTATCCCAATAAGACCGAACTTTCAGGAGGAATTCGTCCGCATCTTTTTGTAACTCTTCCCGAGTCTCTAATGTTTTTCTGGTGATGAATTTGTTAATCTTCCGGGATGTTATGCGGTGTGCTTATTTGAAATAATGCAACCACCTGGACGAAGCTGTGAAACGAACGTCTTCGAAGCCGATTTCCTTCCGGGCTTGCAGGGCCTACCTTCGGAGGTCAGTATCGTGGACGATCAAACCTGCATCGATAGCATTCTTCATATTCTTTAATGTGTACTCCGAAATGCGTTTCAACTTCTCCATGTATGTCCCTTCTTTATTGATTTGATTCGCCCAGCGTCGTAACTGTCTACGCGATTTCACCTTCCTGAATCGATGGGAAACAGTTTCTATAGAGAGATTCTTCTTCTTTTTTCCACTTCTCCAGAAGTCAACGGCATTCTTTTTATATTTGAAATCTACAGGTTCCTCATCCTCCGAACAACTGTCAGGTGATTCTTCTGTATGTGGTTGAAATTCTTTATCCTCGACCGCTATCATTTCGATATCTTTATAAGGCTCTTGAAAATCCAGGGATGTTTCTTCGATCATTTCAACTCCATTATATTCCTCCATTGATTGAATCAATATCCTTTCGAACGTGTCTGCTAATTCACGTTCCTCGTTGTTCACGGGTGTTTCAGCAAGATTGAGAACTTCAAATGTTGCCATCAGAAGTCGGATAACGTTGATCGGATTAACTTTCATGGTAGAACAAGTATAGATCACGACACTCACCGAAAAACTACTTCGCTCTTCGATGTATGTTCATAGACTGATTGTAATTCACAAGAGGGATGGAAATGAAAAACATTGATATCGTATAAGTTATATTGATCAGAGTAATTTCATCCTCAGATAATAAATGCGCCATTTGCATCAATATGTTTACAACTCCCGAATATTANGATTGTACGACGCACGCTACTTGTTTAGTACCTTCTTCAGCTAACGTTCGGCCTGAATGAATTTCCAATTCGAAATNTTGTGGTTCTGCATTATCAAACAGAATGGTATTGTCATATGTCGCCATTTACGTCTCATTGAAAACGATATCACATCGAAGCGATAAGAGCAACCGAAATACATTTTATCATCGATCCATTATTTACTATACAAAATCATCGGCTCTTCTTCGTACCAGCCATCCACGTTCATATACAGATGAAAATTTGAATTCCTCAAAATATTTCACCATAACTCATTTTTTCAAATTGGAAATGGAAACCATTTAACAGAATCTCTACCCTGGCCTTCAGTAGAATTTTTTGAGATTCATGGTCATCANTTTTCTGGTGATGAATTTGTTAATCTTCCGGGATGTTATGCGGTGTGCTTANATATTTCACCATAACTCATTTTTTCAAATTGGAAATGGAAACCATTTAACAGAATCTCTACCCTGGCCTTCAGTAGAATTTTTTGAGATTCATGGTCATCACTGATTTCTTTTGAAAATGAATGAGGTTGGTCCAATCGATTCGATAAAATACCATGAGGATTGTTAAGCCCTCAAGTTTAATTCCCGAAGACTATTTCAATTGTTTCACTTATCATTCCGTGTAAGTTCAGTCTATTATAACAAACAATCAAAAACCCATAATTTTTCAAAGAATCGATGTTTCTTACCTTAAAACTCTAATTTGCGGAAAAAATGCTAAATATGTGCTTTAAATTGTTTCAGGTTTCGAACGAAATGTGTTTCATAAAGTTCTCATCGATATTTTTTCTCCCTTATTAAAAAAAATTCCCCCCCCCCTCCCGCGGGTAGTTAAGCTCCCCGATACCACTCCTAGATCCTGTCCCAATGGTTTTCCTCATCATTAGCCGTAAGCTTCGTTTTGTACAGGAAAAAGTTTGTAATTTCGCAATTCACGAAAAATCTATTTTTTCAAGTTTTAAATTTCAATAAAAAAAAATCAAAACAGATATTCTGTATTTTTTTCTACTTTTCCAAATAGAATTTATCCCATGGGATTTCCATCAAAAGTTTTTTTTCTATGAGAAAAATGAATTTTCACAAGGGTAGTTTACCCGCCATATTTCACCCCCCCGGAGACGGTTCTAATTCGCATTTTCATCATTCCTTGTGACCTTCATGATACACTGCGAAAGAGTTGTTCAAAAAGCTTCCTTAGGTGTGCAATCGAAAAATGACCCCGAGAGGTGGTCAACTTCAGAGAGCACTTTCACCCCGTAAAACCCAATATGGACAGCTAAAAAAAATATGTGTCCCTTAGTTTTGGGTCCCCTATAGCATATTTAAGTTTCATCGAAATCGGAGGGGGACACCTGCATAGTGTTCCTTGTAAGCATGACTCTTGAGAGACATCATTTTCGTGATGTTCGTGAGATTCTGCAATTAGAATTTACCGGCTTTTTTCGGCATTAGCAGGACGGATTACGCCCACTGAACTATAACTATACTGAAAGGTGTATTGAGTTCTCGATTCTGTGTGAGAGAGAAAGAAATTCGTGAAGCCACCTGTCCTTGTCGTACAGTCCGGTCAAGAAGTATCGGCAACTGCTCAGTGGAGTAGGCCTACATATTGAGAACATGTCAAGACGAGAAATGGGCAGGTTAAGTGTTACAACGCAATTCCTCCATCCCATTGAATGTTGCTCTAGCTTTATAAAGAGAAATCCTGAGAGGAAATGGCAAAAGACTAAACCTCCTAATGTTTGGATTTTAGCGTAACTTCTCAATCGCATTTTGATATAATCAGCAGTAATTGTTTTTATAATCTTCATCTCATGAGGTTCACAACACCCATGCAATGTCTCAAGTATAGGATGGGAAGGCGGAAATAACTTCGATATGATTGGTAAAAAATACCTGAATTATCTCCTCAATTATCGGGATTTATTTTTTTCACAGTTCATGTCTCATAATTTATTTTTTTACGCGTGCTAACTGTTGGACGATTATTACAAAGAGCCAGGCCAAACCGGGCTAAACACTACGGGCATACAGACGGCTAAACTTTCTAGTTAGATGATTCATCACGTGGTTTAGCCCTTAGAGCGCATGCGCAGAGGGATAGAAAAGGACAGGTGGCCTCACCTTAATAGGCTATCTCACAAAATCGTTGCTCTCACGCGTTCAGCCCAGCAATACACCTTCCATTATAGTTATATTTCAGTGATTACGCCACAAGTCACTTAGAGTGAAAACCCATCCTGACAGGTGATCAGTTCATTCACGCCTCTGGCAATTGTGGCCATATTATTTGGATAATGGTGGTGAAAAAAATGTGAAATAATAGCTCAAATGTCGGTAATGAGAACCGATCCTAGTGAAATGCTGGTAAGAAATATAATTGGTGGTTTTTTACACAAGTGATTGGACTGCCATTTTTGTATTGTGATGGGTATCAAAATAGAGAATCTAGTGACAGTTTTCATCCGAGGATTATGCACTAATTACGGTTCTTCACATATGAAAAAATCGTATAGAAATTTTCTATACGGATTGCGTATAGAAATTCAAGGTGATTTCCATATATGATATTCGGATATTTCTATATGAATTATTTCTATCCATAAATTTTTGTTTTCATACGAAAGATGTCTAAACGCTCCAGAGAAAAACGTAGAGATATGTCGCAACTCCATACGAAATGTTTCTATACATGTGGCAGTGAGTCGTATAGGATCACACCTATAGAAATCCTATAGAAATAATTTGTATAAACATATCCGTATAGAAGTATCCGAATATCATATACGAAAATCCTATAGAATATAGGCAATCCGTAGAGAAAATTTCTATACGATTTTTTTATACGTTTATCACCACTCTCAGACACAATTTCCGACCTCCTGAAGGTCATAACATGTTGATTTAGGTGCCTATCATATTTTTTTTATCACTTCTCATCCCCACAATTACAGTCACGAGGGACCCCCGTGAAATGACTTTTCCGTTAGAAAATCCCCTAGGGGGGACACGGGAAAGGGGGCGGGGATTGAGAAAGAGGGAGTGGCGGAGGGGGAAAAGGGGTAAAAATTATTATACCCGGGCCTTAATGATAAAATTTAGAAAACTACTCTCAACCAGATGGTGAAAAAAGTTTGTTGAAGTGTAGATAAAAAAATTCTTCAATTATTTGCGAGATAATGCTTTCAAAATTTGGTTGGTAAATTTTTCTCTTTTTTCATTGAAATACCTAGGAGTCGATTAAGGGGGTGCACGAAAGCTTCACAAAGGAACTTCATGGTCTTCCTAGATAATATACTCCATACTGAAGGTATCTCACTTTCGCAGTTTGCCCCATTGGTTTTGAGCTGCCTCCATTCACTAGCGAGTGTACAGAACTGGTCGAAATTGATACGTTGCTCGGTTGGATCTTCCTTCGATGTTAAAGTCTTGACCAAACTCTCATACGTCTCTGTAGAGATTCCAACAAAGAAGAAAATTACACAAGTATATTACACAAAAAAAATTAAGTAAAACAAAAGGGGAATACAATAGAATTACACTTTAAATAATTCCAAAGTACTCCTTTTATTTCTGTTTCACCTCTTTGTATATCCCGACGCAAAATGAATTTTGAATGGTGATTGTAAACACTGAACCACGCGGGCAACGAGTTTCATTTATAGAAACGACTTGAACGCATTCATTCAAGATAGATCCCTAGAAAGCAGGTTTTTCTTAAGATTGTCCCTATATTTTTGACGTGGACACGTCTATGGTCTCAAACCGGGGAGTGATGTCAGAATACCATTATGTTCAACGCCATCAGAAATTTCCAGTGTAGAAATTTTTAGATTTAAAAATCTCTATATAAGGGGGACCGGTGCTATTTAGCGGCAGTCTTAAATCTGCAGTAGAACCGTTGGTATTGCGAGAACTGAATAGTTGGAATATTTTTGACATGGATAAGTCCATGGTTTCAGTATATAGTCATGTCTTTGCTCATTTTGGGAATGGTCCTTATGTGCAACGCCCTCTATCAGAATTCTAGAAAATCTAGACATTTAGAGGTAATTCGAGAAGTTTTTTTAAATTTCTAAAACATTCAAGAAGTTTCCAGAAATTTCGAGGGAATTCAACGAGTTTCTACAAAACTCGTGAGAATTCAAGGAGTTTCTAGAAAATTCAAGGGAATGCAAGGAGTTTGTGGGAATTTCGAGGGAACTCGAGGAGTTTCTAAAAAATTCGAGGGGATTCACGGAATTTCTCTAAATTTTGAGGAAATTTAGGGAGTTTCTAGAAAATTCGAGGGTATTTAAGGAGTTTCTAGAAAATTCGGGGGAATGTAAGGAACTACGTCTGGATGTACATTACAGCTGTATCGAAGATACAGCCTGCAATAAGATCTAAGGCCTGTATCTAAGATTACCCCCTGCAATTTTAGAGCAATAAACAATTCCCGAGGGATATGTTATGAATTGTTCTACAGTAATTTGTATTTTCGGGGGATAAGAGGCAATTTCTTCTTCATATTTCTCTCGTCACATTTACATAACAAAATGAAATTTACAATCACAAGTTGAAATCTTTAAACTATTTCTCGGTGACGGCTATCCAAACATGGATAACACAGACGTATCCACGTCAAGTTTACCGGCTGTAGGACGGTTACAGCCATTTAGGATTTTTTATGGATAATGTTTATAAGAGTCGCTAGCTAGTGAAAAAAATTCTAACTAGCTGTACTACATAGTTTAGGAGATAATGAATAATTAAATGCGGGCTGCTAGCACGCGAGGCATAGGCCAAACGAGGGTTATGGTCCCCCCGAAATCGATTTTATCATCATATGAGAAAGGGACTCTTACGAAATTATTAAAAAACTAATCTGTGATACAATGGTTACTCCCTAACATTTCAGCCTCTGGGGCCAGAATTCAAGGAATTAAATGTTCGGGAAGCCCTTACTCTTTCGTTAGAGGCGGAGCTAGGAAAGAGATAAACAGAGCGAAAGAATCTGCCTGTTTCACTCTCACACGCCGAGAGTAATTTTACTGCGCAGTCCCGTCGCGTAGAAAGACAGATTTACCTAAACACATTCACGTTGTCGATGGTGGGGGAAGTCAACTTCTCCGACTGCAATGTTAGGGAACCGAAATGTTAGGGAGTATCCACTGTAGATTGATAAATTCCGAATACGGATAAATGAATAAATATCCAAATTTTATAATACATAATGTCTGCGATATTCAACTCTAAAAAATTGAAATTTTGTAAAACACTCCTTATTTGATTCAAACAATAGTTTAACAAATAATTTTTCATTTGATTCAAAGAGTTATTGTTGCCTGCATCAACAACATATGAGGATAGAAAAACTCAATAACTTATGGTAATGCAATAAATTGAGCTATTTAGAATTTTTTTCGAAAATCCATAGGGACTAACTTTTGGATGCTATGCCTTGGGATATACCTTAATCGATGACGAGTACTTAAGTACTCTGGTCGTATTACCTGATTTATTTACGCCATTGAGAAGCTCCGAAATAGACGTATTGCTCTTCGCATGTGATTGCATAGCAATCCAAGCCTGAAAAGATATTAAGGAATGACAGAGACCAACAAAACTACCTTTCGGCAACAAATCACACGGTCTCCGATAAAAAGGAAGGAAGCAACAAGTGAGAAATTGCTTTCGTCATAACATAGTTAATATATTTTTGCTAATAAATTCGCACTTTGCTTCCGAATGGAATTTGTATAACGATGAATTTTACATTGAATTCGGCGATTTATTGAATTGGATTGATTGAAATTGCCTCAATGTTGGTAGCTAACATGGTCCCAACGGTGGCAGCCAACATTACCCCGACGTCGGCTGCCAATATTGCTCCAAAGTTAGCAGCCAATATTGCCTCAATGTTGACATATATTACCTTGTCCTGAATATTAGTTTCAAAATAATTTTTCTCAACAACAGATGATGCAGTTAATTTCATGATCGAACTCGATCCAGATGGCATTGGGAACAATATTTTAAATCCCAATTGGATTAATTTAAATAATTTTTCAGTTATCGTTGATAATCGAGCACACATACACACATATATACATCCGGACATGATCTAAAAATAGCAGATTCGAAATCCTGAAGGGAAAATTAGTTATCCTGATATAAAAAATTAAAAAATTCTTATTTGACGAATACAATGCTTTCATTCGTCAGCCAACCTTGTGCCAAAGTTGGCAGCCAATATTGCCCCGAAAATATTGAATTCAAACTAAATTTTTTTCAACAATACATAATTCAATCAATCTCATGAACGCACTCGGTCAAGATGGCATTGGGACGAATATTTCAAATCATAATTGGATTCATTTAAGGTGTTTCGTCTGTAGATCTCAGAGGCGGAGAGGTGAAACGGAAGGGGAATCCTTTTATTATCGATCCCTCATTCACTTGCTGAACACAAAAAATCCAAATTTTCAAATGAAGTTTTCCATTATAATACTGACGTCCATTTTTTTGGCTTCCATTTTTTTCCCGTGAAATAATTGTTTTTTTTAGCAATTACGCGTATTGCATTATTTTTAAAAACTTCATTTATAATTATGGAAATTGTATAAAAATGCATAGAAACATTGGCAATGTCGCACGAAGTCTCCATTGAATTTTTCCCAGCTGGTAACCCTGTGGAGTATTCTACTCGGTTCAAAGGGTCCAGCGGAATAAATATGGTGAAAATGCCCCCAACGAATTTTGCATCGCCAATTTTTCCTGCTATTTATCATGATAAAATATGCCAGCATACAAATTTCTAGATTTTTATTTGCATTCCTGGGAGTGTTATCGCAAAAAAACATCTTTTTCTAACGTCATGCTTTTTAGCCGTCAAAAAGTATTATAAAAATCTGAAAAAATTCAGAAAAATCAGAAACACATCAACATTTATGTGAAATTTTTATATTAATTTTTTTTTTACAATAATTTCGACTTTAAAAAATGATTCACTATGCAAAACTTCATTTTGATATGTGTAATGTGACATTTTTCTATAACGACTGAAAATGCTGTTACGTTCGACCTTCTTCCCCTAAATCTAATTCCAATGCTCAAAACTCCCAAAGCGTTATTCCTATGGGCGCCAGATAATTTTTAACCGGAATTACCAAACCGGAAAAATCGTCAAAAACACCTTCAACTAACTCGAAATTTCCTAAAATGTATACCAAATGGGAGAAAGCTAGATTTTTGGGGAAAGGTCACGGTCCTCAAGTCGCTCAGTATGTTACGTTATGAAGAGAAGGGTGGATTTCGGGTGGAAAAGGGTTATTGGGCGGTCAAAACTACAAAAAAAAGGAATCAACATTGTCCTTACATGTTCCGCTATTGAAATTTAAAAAATCAGTTTACAACAAATCTTGACGTGTTCCCAAAAAAAATCATTATTATTATTTTCCTTAATAAACCTGAAACAATCTCAACTAACGAAATTTCATCAAATATCCTGACAAAAACAAAAGAAACAACTAAATTCATAATAATAATGCTCTAGAGATTGATTCAAAACATCGCATGATGAGAAACAATGTATTATCGATCGCCTCGGCGACAAGGCTAAGGTAATCGAATTCCTCAGGTGTTATTGACAATACGAGGACAATAGGTAATACCGAAATTCAGTGTTAATCCCTAAATACTTGGGAATCCAATAATCAGGAAGAGAGGTATGCGGACTACCATGAGAGCGAAAGAGAAGAAATAAAACCCGCTATATACGTATTATGTATAGCGGGAAGAAAAATCCATGACAACTAAACTCGCAGGGAAATAAATTTGGCAGAGTGAATTTTCAAAAACCCAGAGCAAAAATCCTCGGGAGAGTCCAACGAAGACATCGATATGAAAATTATAATTTTTAGATCGCTGTGAGCCACTCCAAACTATTTAATAATCGGAGGGAATTTTAGACTGGGGAATAGGCGCATGAAACGAGAGCCGTACTTCTCGGAGCGGATGGATTGTTGCGGGGAGCCGTGAAGGGGGAAGCATTCATGGGGAATGCTCGACGAGAATTTCGCGTAGAGGGAGAGGGAAACTCTCAGCTACGAGAGCGAGAGAGATAGTCGATTGGAGAATACTCCAATCGGAATGAAAAGAAATTTCGAAATAAAAAAACAAGAACCAAACGAATCGAAAAGGGGGGAGGGTTCTGGCCCGAACATTATCCCCCAATTTTTAATATAAACCTCGGAAGTGTTTCTCCCGAGAGCGATCGACATCTCTCAATATTTAATTTTATTTTTAGTCGTGATAATGAAGGATATTCCAAATAAAATCTTGATTATAAAATATGAGCCATTTTACCGGAATATAAAACCACTACACGTGGATTAGGGCTCACGTGAGGGACGCCACTCAGGACTGGAACCGACGCCATCAATTAATAAAAACTCACGGTGGATCTCCTTTTCTTCCTCTTGTCCTTCTGGACCATGATCGCTGCTACAGTAATCCAATAGATACCAAAATATTCCCAATAAATTACACAGAATCACAGAGAAACTAAATTCAGTGACACTCGTTTCTCATCGATAGTACACTCTTAGCCGAGGTCAAGACGTAACTGTCAAACATCACGCGTCTCGAGATGGTTCAGAAGTGAGAAATCACCGCTTAGTCAGAATGGTTTTGATTGGGCGGACACGTCCCTTAAGGGTGCGAAACTTGCAGAAACCGCCAAAAAAAATCGGGGAAAGTAACGGCTCAATATGCAAAAGGCTTCTTCTTAATTATCTTCGTTTATTTTTAATTGAACAAAAACGGACTAATTTGCTAACCTGACCGAACCGATACACGTTCGTATAATTAATGAGGGTGTTTGGCGCCTACAGCAAATCGCTTCTACGGAATTTCTGGGATTAATATATAATAAAATCAACTATTTCTCATTTTTTATTCTACTTAAAAAAAATACAACTCAAACGCCAATGCAACCCGGCAATTCGTAGGAGGCAAAGGTTCCTCGTTCTCCAAGTGACGGTGCAACCAAAATGAAAAATTAACGAATTAATTCCCGAAAAATAAACTTGATTCGGAGCGCCGGCATTGAAGCAGGACCTAATGGATTGCCCACAAGATTTACGACAGGGGGAATCCCATGAAAATTACCGGATGAAATTAAAATTGTAGCCCTTCTCGGCGATAATTTTCAGGGCCCTCAAAAACGCGTCGTTAAACAGAGCCCGAGCAAAAAGTTATACCCTCAAACCCAAAAATTCCGAAACTCTGAAAATTCACCACGCAATAGCGACAAACCCTAAACTCGATTATCATAATGAGAATTGGATAAATTGCCGCACTGAAGTCGGAAAACTGATGGAGGTGGAAAAGCGTCTCTCTCTCTCTCTCTCTCTCTCTCTCTCTCTCTCTCTCT